GGGGACGGGGGCGGTGGGGACTGGTGGGATTTTCACTGTAAGTAAAAATTGCATGACCCACATGTGATTCATAGATATTCAAATTGAATAATTCCATTATTTATCTACAGCGAGCTTTTATCAAAGCTTCAAGCATCAGTAGAAAATGTAGCAAGAATAAAATACGCGTTAGATCAAGATACCGACGAATGGTCTGCGTCCGATCTTTACTCACCGCGATCACCTGACTCAGTTAAAAGCTTTAGTAGACAGAGTTCCAGAAGATCTAGAGCCAGTTCTGTGTCGTCAGTGGACACAGCTGTCGCTGAAGAAAAAGTGAGTAGAAGTGTTTTACAAATGCGTTCATGTTTCTGAAAATTTGACTTCAAGTTAAGACCATTTTTTTCTGCAACTGCGCAAACCTTGAAGATGGCCGGAATAGTCAAAAGCTCGACTCAATGAAATAACGAAATGCACTAGTCCCTTTTCACAGTTTCTTACGCCATCTTGAAAGGTAGCCATGCCATTGCAAGCTCAGCGTTCGTCTCACTTCGACGCAAAGGCACGGCTACCTTTCAAGATGGCGCAGGGAACTGTGAAAGGAAAATCTTTTTACGAGGAAATCCTCAATTTTTTTTTTTTTTTTTTTCGTGGAGCAATATTTTGCCATTACAGACCACGTGTCATTCCTTAGAGTATAATTTTATTTTTGTTTAACGGTTGTACATGAGAAGACACGTGAATATGAATACAACTCAAGCAAAGAGTCATCGAAGGAATGAATTGTGGCATATCTAGTAATGGAAAAACATTACACCGAATTTTGAAAATTTTTAATTAATTAATTAATTTTTTGCGTCGAATTAGGTGTATTGGTTTTTAATTCATTTATCGTACTCTCCTATTACAGTATAATTACCATCGAGATGCTGAGCTCATTAACGCAGTACGTAAAGACCTGGCGATGTCCCTGAAGGAAGTAATGCAACATGGACTAGTGAGGGTAAGAATATATATAGATATAATCAAACCAATATAACTAACCTCTGCGGTACCGTTTTCCAGTATTCTGATTGGATAGAATCCTGAAATTTGCGCTCTCTGATTGGCTCAGCGACACCGTCAATACCTTTCCGTGACCGTGCCGTGACTATTTTTGCTGCAGCGCAAATCTTTTTCTATGCTCATATAATTTTGATAAATGCATATCACTGATGACTCTTATAGGTCAATGCGTTTCCCGTTATGAATAAAACTATTGTATATTGTGCGGTACTAACCTATTATTTTGACTGTAGACTGTGGAAAGTCGTCTAATTTCGTCCAAATCTCTCGTTGCTTGTATTGTCCCTACGACCAGATCTTCACTGCCTCAGGGAATGCACGTTTGGGAGTTATTCGATAGCTATTACGCATTGAAGGTGAGATCCACAAAATACGCCGTGTTGTTGTTTCAAGGGGGCAAGTATAACAGTTAAAGCATGAAGCATGGTTTCCAAATTTTCCCTCAACACCAATTAACAACTCTTCTCACATACGAAAAGAATCTAACCCGGTCAGAGGCGACGCATTAGAAGCGCACGCCAACCCTTGCCAACCGATTCTTGGATGGCCGGAAAGCTAGGGCACACATGCAATGCGACCAACCTCGAAGTCACTGCATTTGTGAGTTAGGTGCTTGTCAGGTCTTTGTTCAAATTTTATTGATACCCTAAATATAACCTGACGAAAGTCAGGGCACAGCTAAATATTATATCTAATTGGAATTTAGTATGCCAGGGAAAATCGGTGACCCGGGGAAAATCCCTCGAATCAAAGAAGAGAACTAACAAACTCTACTCACATGTGATGAGTCAGGAATCAAACCCGAGAGGCGAGATACAGGTGAACTACGGCTACGCCAGCCTTGATTTCCAATTACTATATTAATGTTGGTATTTCATCAGCATGGCCGCGAGTACAACTCCACACCAGCAAGTCGTTTATCAGAGGCTTTTGGCATTGCACTTGATGGCAGCTGCGCGACTACTGCAAAACAGGTTCGTACGAGTAATGTTATTTTGACTGGTCTAAGCCATTCTATGGAGGCACCACCCCATCTAACCCCTCAGCCAAACATTATAAGACGTCAAAAAAATGAGGCTTTAAATAGGTCACGTTCAAAATTCAAATTGCGAGGCTTTAGTCGTATTCACCGCGTTCTCATAATGACTGAAGAGCGTACGAAAGTGAGGCCACCCAGTCATTTTGCAAGGCTGAGCAAAGCTGCTCATTCAAAATAAAGGTGGATAGCGCGACTTCAAGTCAAAACAAAAGGCCAATTTCTTATACTTTCTATTAACGCATTACATGTGCTTTCATATCTTGTTGTGAACTTTAATGACCTCGTGAAGTGGTGACCTTTCGTGACGTGGTGACCTTTCGTTCACTTGTCAGCCATTATGAGAACAGTTTATGGTACTTTATGCATGTCACAAATACATGGATCACCAAATATACATTTCTTGGTATAAAGACATATATTCACATATATAATTTTGTTTTACTTTTCTTATAATTCCAGTTCTCTTTTGATATAGTTCCCTCTCCAAGTCGTAATTTACAATATTATTTTCATATATTCCTGCCTTCTTTTACAGACGTTGCTAAGAACTCTGCATCGAATAAAAACAACGCACGAACCCTGTCGACGAAGCATGGATGCCATGGTAATTTCATAACTTATAATTGATAATATCCGCATTACACTGCATACTTTTGTACATACAGCTATTGAAGAATATGATGCATATTGCATATTGCAAGTTCTATTTAATGTGTTTACCACTCCTGCGTGGACGGTGTAATGGTCGGTGTAAACAGGTGCAACCCAACTGATAAGGCAAACGATAGATCAAATAAAAATTTACCGTTAGAATGTTTCATGTTGCATGTATCATAAACCTTTTTTGAGATAGCGAACATGGTGCATTGTGGTCTAGATTCAGTACAAACAACACCATATAAGGCATAATGTTTGTACCGAAGCTAGACCACAATGCACCAYGTTCGCTATCTCAAAAAAGGTTTATGATACATGTTCCATGCGGCTTACCAAGTTTAAAGTGTATTGTGGATCATATGTAAATGTCAGCGCAGAAGAAAATATGCTTAAAAAACAAAGTTTGTGAAAATTTCATATCGTTGTCACCTTTTGCTGATTGGATTCCCATCGCCTATATTGCATTCTGGGCTTGGTATGCAACATACAACAAAACTTTTTCCAACCTGCATTCTCTGTTAGTTTTTCCATGTTACTGATGTGTTGCTTGTACGTCTTTGTTCCCAGTTCAAGTCATTAGTCTGCGCAGGACTCAAGTAAGTAATAAACTGAACGCGTTTCCCCTTATCTTAATCACCAAGCAACCCTAAAAGCGTAGATTTCTGCTTTTGTTCATCTTGCGGTTGCAGTTTCGAGTTCTCTGTTTCACATTGTTAGCCTCGATTTGTTTGTAGAATTAACGTGTGTTCCAGTGAACGTCTGTGAGATTTGAAAGTATTTGTATTGTTATTGTTGAAGTAGTGCATTCTTTACTTTACTCTTACTATTTGCGAAAATGTTGACACTGTAATGAGGCTAACCTTTATTAAATGAGTCTGTAATCAAGGARCACAGCGGTATTTATAAAAATGGAAACCGGTCTATTTTAAACAATTTTTCTTACTTCACCGAGACATCTATACAAATACACAGAGGGAACTCCACCTATATGTGATAATTATTTCTGATTGTTAATTGTATTGTGATTCTTTTTTCTAAAGCCAAAAAGCGTTAGTCCAGTGGTGTCGGATTGTAACCAGAACATCAACCGTTATCGATGAACATTATCAGTCTTGGGCATACGTCATTAAATCTGGTGAGTATGATATCACGTAAGATTTTCCCTTGAAAGTTGAAAAGATAAATATTTTTGCGTTCGTATTTCGTACTTTCATCTATCAAACAATCAACCATCACCATGCCTTTCACCCAACCATCCGCCTATCAATACATTTATCCTTCCAATCACCCAACCACCCACTTGTCAATCCACCACTTGTCGCCCTACCTTACCCATCAATATGCCCTTCTATCCAGTCACCTATCTATTCATCTACTCACCCACCCATCCATCCACCCACCCACCCACCCATC